ATATATATATATATATACATACACACACATTTAAAAATATTAATTTAAATTTAATACTTTAATAATATATATAACATGTATGTTATATAAATACATATTATGCCCAATAATAATAACAAGACGAAGAAATAAGAAAAAGATAGTAGAATTTGAAGGCTATAAATATTGTAAAGATGATCTCATGAACATTGTAAAAGGTCTTGAATTCCCTCACTGAATGTAAATCCATTGTGTGTGGAGACGGCGGGTCAGTGCTGATGTCAAAGGTGGCCTTCTTCCGCAGTTTAAAATTAGAAACATGCCTGAGTTTGTGACTCACGCCTGCTTGTTCTGAGGGCCGGTGTTGGGAAACGGCCCCTCTTACTGGGTCCCTGAGGGCCTTTAATGTGTTCCTAGAATTCCTGGAATTGCCACAGGAACATCACAATACTCTTTTCTTTCCTCGATCTGACTGGATGTCTGATGTGGGAAAGGTTTGTGGATATTATCTTGAATGCAATATAAACTGGTGACGTTGTGTTTTTACAGTAGATGCTCGCAGTGGTTGATGATGAAAATAGCATCCAGTATATTCTTTAAAAATCATGTTTTGTTTGCTAGGCGATGCTTCAGGCCTCCGGAGTCAGTACTAACCAGGATAATGAGTCAAACCTAAGCGTTTGAGTTTGAGATGAGATGTTTGAGGAACTTCAGAGGGACAAAACGGCTTTAGTTCGCAGTGTGGCATGTGAAAGGTTTCCATGGTTTCCCTAAGTGGCGGTCGGAAAGGTCAGAGGTTGCTTTAAATTGCCCAGCAGGTTGTTGTGCAGGGAAACAGCAGCGAGGAGAGAAATATTCCTGCTAATAACAGACAAAAACATGCCAGCGTAGATCAGCTCATCTCTCTGGATATATAAGCATGGCTCATTTAGATTTATGAATCCTGACCACCATAACTGACACAATGTAGTCCTGAGAGACCGAGGCTGTGCTACAAAACCTAGCGATCTGTCTCGATGCCCATTAGACATTCGGTAATATGAACATGCACAGTATTATCATCATGGGCACTTTATAATACTGTGAGTAATTCTAGGTACCTTATTATCTGAATTGTTTAACACATTAGTTTATTTTGCATAAAAGTAGTTAAAATTGACAACACTGCGCTGTGTAACAGGCTGAATGAAAATGTGCAACTTTGTGTTTTCTTTGTGTAAACAGCCATTCGCTTTGGTGCTCATCAAACAACAGCAGATCCATAAT